GAGTTCAAACAGCAGTCAACTTACTCTCAGGGACCCGGACTTCACGTGGAACAGGGATGGTGGGACTGTTGTCATTCAGGTCTACGATGATCACAGTGAGAGTGGCAGAACCTGCTAACCGAGGACTACCTCTGTCCGTTGCCATAATAACCAGGCTGGAGACACAACAACAAAATTAAGAGTCCGAGTCTGGACATTCTCACAGACTATTTTTATGCTGACGGGAAAGAAATTTAAGACGTTTTAAAGTGCAAACTCCAATAATAATCAAACAAAGATATTATTTCAGGGAATATAAAAGTTTTGACCGCATCGATGGAACTGCCTCTACAGAAGTGTCATTCCGTCAATAAATACATTGGCATCCTGTGTGGAATGTAGCTATTTAAAATTAAAAAGACATTACTTTTCAATCACTTCTGTTTAAGGATAAAGAAGGGAAAAGGAAATGATCTAAACTGCTATAAAAGCAGATGGAAGAACTTAGTACTTGGTCTGTGTCCAGATCTCTCTGTCCATGATGGCAGCGGTGGATATACTGCCTGTGACAGGGTCGATCTTGAAGAGGCCGCTCATGGACGATGACCTTATGGAGTAGGTCACCTGCCCGTTCTGACCCTGGTCCAGGTCATTCGCCAACACCTGAGGAAATTACCGGTGAAATTGGCAATGAAAATACAGACAGATTCGCAACAGCTGCTCGAGCGTAGCATGAACCTCTAAGCAATGTTGGGCTTGGAACTCAAATTATTTAGAAGAAAAAAAGTTGAAAAAGGGAATTGGTTGTGGCTATGTGGGACAGCTGAGCCTATATTCTCACCATGGACAATGAAAACATTGTGGGAAACGCAAAGGAAACTCTTTTGGCTTGCACTGAAAATATGCTGTATTTAGGCCAAGGGATGTTGTACTCCACAGCTTTTATGAAGACTCAACCACAGAGAAAACAAATGGGAGATTACTGTACCTGAATGATAGGATGATCATAGCCCTGGGCCTCACGAACATAAGCAACGTAATTGTGAAGTTGAAAGCGTGGTAAGTTGTCATTGACATCCTGTAGGAGAAGGTTAACGGCCACGAAGGAACTGGAGGATGCGGTTTCAGCCTTGACCACCAGGCGGAGTCGTGGGGTCTCCTCAAAGTCCAGACCTTTGGAGCTTTCTACCCAAATCTCACCTAAATAAGGAATGTATTATGACTAATACTGAAACATCCTTCCCCTTTAGAAAGACTACTATCACAATAAGTTCATGCAATGACTTCGATTACCTGTGTGGGGGCTGATGCTAAAGGACTGCTGCTTGTTGCCACTGAAAATGCTGTAGTTGATGCCACTGCTAGATCCATCAGGATAGTGAGCCTGTATCTGAACAACTGCTGTACCTATAAGAAAAAAAGACCTTTATTGATAAAAAGGAATTTTTCCATCAACTTGGCATGTATGAAAGGTTTAGTGATGCACATTATGTCATTACCATATCGGTTAACGTCTGATGTTTTATTATCTCAGTCAATATTGGATATTTAATCATGCATCTCATTTCCCTTAGTTTTATATTTAGATGACTTTTGCCAACATCTAACACTCACAATAAATTAATAACACTGCTGAATGTAGTCTTTAGCAAACCTCAAAATTAATATCCATTTTTCATACTGTACACTGAAATATCGTGATGCCTAAATTCACTTGTAGCATTTAAAACGAACTGATTTTAGATGCTACCGTTTTATTTTTTAATTATATAGCAGCCAAAAATGTGTTAATATTGCTGCATTCTATTCTAAACTAGACATTCATATCCAATTTTGGCAGACGCTTTTACCCAAAGCGACTTAAACTGCATGCAAGGTATATATTTTATCAGCTCATGCATTTCCTGTTAATCGAACCCATGACCTTGGTGTTGCTAGCGCTATGCTCTACAGTTTGAGCTACAGGAATATCAGTTGCATATCACTGATGTACAGGGTCATTATCAAACCTTTAGCAGTATTCTCCTGCAGGCTGACATCCCTGGTGTTGCGAGCGAAGCGGATGCCCTGGTAACTCTGCTCTCTGATGTACACGATCACAACTCCCAGAGAGGACTGCGATGGGTTACCCTGATCCATGGCCTCCACAATGAGGGTCCGCTGGCTCTGGGTCATCGTGTGGAGCTTTTCGGTGGCCTGGATGTCCCCAGTCAAGGAGTTTATGGTGAAGCCTTTGACAGGATTCGCAAACCGATAAAATACAGATCCATTTGCACCGAAGTCTTTATCTTCAGCTCTCATGGTGGCCAGCACCTTGTGGTTGGAGAGACTACTGCTGGACACATTGATGATGAGCGGGTCTGTGATGAAGAAGGGGGCGTTGTCGTTTACATCTAAGATGTGGACGGTGACTTCAGCAGAGGTGTTACGGGGGTTGGAGGCTGAGGAGTCCATGGCGTAGACTTTGAAACTGTAGGAGGCCACTTTTTCTCGGTCAAGGGCTGCTGCTGTAATAATGCGACCTGTGTATTGGTCCACAATGAACATACCTCTGGATTCGTGGCTCAGGAAGTAGACAACCTGACTGTTGGACCCTTCGTCCTTGTCAGAGGCTGAAACCTCCAGAACAAGAGACCCTTCTGATGCATCTTCTGATACCTCCACTGAGTAGCTGCTGCTGGGGAACACTGGGCTGTTGTCATTCAGGTCCAAGACACTGATGTCCAAAGTGACAGTGCTGGTGAGGGATGGCATTCCTTGATCTTGTGCCTCCACGGTGAGGGTGTACTTTGCTTTGGACTCTCGGTCCAAAGGCCTGGAAGTGGACAGCACACCTGATTTCCTGTCCAGGTGGAAATCACCAAAATGGTCTCCGTCTGAGGAAAGAAAGTTATGAAAATAACATTGTCATCTGGCCTGTTAGTGTAATAAAACAATATTAATCAATTTCATTAATGCTGACCAATGAAGGGTGCAATGTATATATATATATATATATATATATATCAATTTATTATTCAATGCAATATAATACACAAATAATTTTTTTTTTATGTAAGAGGAATAAATAAAACTTCTTTCCAAAATTGGGCAGAGAACCACCATCTCTGGCATAAACTGTTTATGAGAGAGAGGTTATAAACTGGCTAAACAAATGCGTGCACAACCGTGACATGACATTGGCAGAAACACAAAACTTCAATCTATGCTCTTAAAAGCATATCATTCTCTGTTGCAATTAAGCGACTGTGTTTTATCTGAAGCACCTGTCACAGCATAAACCCCTTGGGCTTCCCTGTCCAAAGCCTTGGTGGTTGTTATGACTCCTGTCACCGGTTGAATACTGAAATCATCTCCTACAATACTTCCATATGTCACAATTCCATTGGTCCCTAAGAAAAACAGGATAAAGACATTATAAGAGATGAATCTACACAGTTTTCTTGAATGTAAGTCCAAAATATCATGTCTGTGAAAAGCCCATCATTCTTAAGAGGCTGTGTTCACTTTGCACAATGGACTTTTCTCACGGAATGGGTAAACACGTGGCGCACCCTGTTTTTATTTGCTTGTAGTTAATACCGCTGTCTAAGCAGTTGGTCTCAATCGCCCTCCCCCTGGTCCTTGGATGGCAGATCGCGTGCAAGAGGCGAGCAATCTGGCAGAGTGTCACCTGTTTACCTCGCTAATTGTTCATGGAGAGAAAGTTTATGATCCTTCTGTTTTATTTGCCCCTGAGTAAGTCCAAGAGAATGCAGCGCTCCCTTTCCACAACCCCCCCTCCCCCCTCGGCCTGGCACCAATTAAAACCACACACTTTTATTTGTGATGGGTTTGGCTGTGGTATCCAGTGTTTTCAGAGAAATGTTAGACAAACATTCGTGTCACTTTTAAAGAGAACGGTGTGACCACCGCCAACCTCAGAAGGTGGAAATGAACTCTTCTCAGTCAATGCGTGCGTTCACAGACAGTACCGTTTAGCATCACATCATCAAGTATATGAGCCATTGAGTGGCAGAGATACAGAAGAATGTAAACAAAATTATTAGGGCTGCCCATTTACTGTTAATTTAGTGTGATTCATTAAATAAATAACATAATGTGATACAAAATTAATGTAATTAATCATGCTCCTGACTCAGATGTACATTCCACACAGGATTTTCCTACCATCAATTCAAGATTAAAGTACCAAAGTTTTTGTGAGTCCACAGCTAATGTGTACCTTGCCAAACCACATTTACAGGGAGCATGTTGCACAGAATAAGTAAAGGAGACATTTGTACAAAACATGTTCTTGTTTGGAATCAGCTACATAGCAAGATGTTTTGTTGAACTACTTTTACATTTGACACGCCATCTTATAAATGTGGCACTCATGATGTAGTCTACATTTATACATAGCAGTGTTGTTTTTGTTAACTAAAAATACAACTAAAAATTCAAAAAAATGTTTTTGTTATCGAAATAAAGCTAAAATAAAATAAAATATAAATATTAGAGGAAATAAAATTTACTGAAAAAAATCCCCAAAATTAGAAATGTTGCCCTTACCAAGTAACTGAACTAATTACTAAAACTAAACTGAAATAAAATACAGCTAAATAGAATTATAAAAAAGAATTAAAATGATTAAAGCACAAAACAAAACATTAATACAAACTAAAATGAAACTGAAATCTGAAAACTAAAAAAATCTAATTCAAACTAACCCTTTGACGCGTACGATCACACCGGTGTGATCAGTCTTGGCTTAAATACTATAACAGGAAATATAAATAAATAATACTAAAATGTCACTAAAATTATGCTTATAAACTGTGAATCAACAACCCTTTAGTCAACCCCATTGAATATTTAATTTGTATTAATTAACCATTATTTTCTAAATTCAATTTCAATATTTATAATTAAATAAATTTTTTTAGGCGTTTTTGCCGTTTATTATGACAGGACAGTATTTAGACAAGAAGCAAGAGAGGGTGGGAGAGAGAGAGGGGGAACGGAATTGGGAAAGGTCCGCGGGTCGGGACTTGAACTCGGGACGCCCGAAGCGCAACAATGCTATATGTCGGCACGCTGCCCACAAGGCTATTGGCGCCAACATATAAATGACTTTTCATTCAAATGAAAGGCATTATATTAATTAAAATGAATAAAATATTGCTTAATATAATTAAAAAATAATAAAATATGCTTCATTAATATTATAAATACACCACCAGTGGTCCTTATACAACATAACTGCCATGTTTATATGTTAGACATATATAGGAGTGTACTTTACCTTGGTCCAAATCAGAAGCTGAAACCACAAGCACAGTAGTTCCTGGAGGCTGATTCTCTGCAATAAAAGCTTCATATTCACTTTCCTCAAAGTATGGCACCTCATCATTTACGTCAATCACCTGGATTGACAGTAACTGGGAGCTGCTGTGCTGTTGTAAACCGTGGTCTTCTGCCACTATGGTCAGGTTGTAGAGGTCTTGCTCTTCACGGTCAATTGGTCTAAGAATAGACAAAGACCCTACAGGGGAAATAAGCAAAAGTGTTAGGCTACCATATGATGAATGTAACAAGCATAGTGTCTGGTATTTCTTTTGAGTGATCGCCTGCAGTTTAAACAATTACACAATAATGAAGCCATGATGTAAATTGTTTAAAGCAAAACCACTCGCACTTAAGCAAAGCCTCATTCACACGCTCGCACGACGAATGATTTCCATCTTGTAGCACACTTTGATCTTGCATAAGCAACATCACAGCACGAAAAGTTGACGCCTTTCTGTTGTGTTAAAAATGAGTGGAAGTCATGCGACGTATTCAAAAATTACTTTTTTTTCCCAATGCACAGCCCTCCCTACCTGAACACTCGCTGAGGCACTGTAACAGCTCAACTATCTGGCCGCAGTTTATGAGTTTTTTCCACAGCAAACAGAAAGAGCACATAAACAAGCACTCTAGACACGCAACGGCCCGGCCTGCCGTGCCCTGCTCAAATTTGGGGGTGTCAGCTCCCCTGTCGTTAGCCTACCACAAGCGAGCGGTGCTCCTATTGATCCAATCTCAATTTCATGCTTTTAAAGAACCAGACGCAATGATTCAAAGCAGGCTGTAAAGGCGTGATGGGAACTGAGACACTAGAGGGTGTTTTCGTTCTGTTTCGACTTATTTTTCCCTCTCTTCTATCTCCATAACGCTGAGCTAACATGCCTCTGAGGTCTTAATCTGGTAAGAATTAGAAGCTTGAATATTTTCAGACAATTTGACTCCTCACCAGTCATGCTCCGATAACGTAAGGGGAAACTAAGCGGAAGAAAGATAATGTTTTGCTTTTCTATTCTCATATTAATAGTTGAAGGCATTCATAATGAGCTTCCCAAGCAAGTGAGCGTTTGTGAGATCGGTTTGTCATTTATAAAGCAGACAAATGTTATTTTAAAGAGACAGACCACCTAAAATTGAACATCCTATGATCATTTTCTTAGCCCTGTCATACAAAACCTGTAGGATTACAAAAATTTGGTATGATCTAGCTCCATATTCTAATAAATTCTGGTTAAGTGTGGGTTCCATAAGCATATCAAGGTCCACAATAATGCATGCCGGAACAGAGAAACACAATCTGCTAGTGGTAAAACATGCTGTAAATAGCTACCAGCTGAGTGGTGTGTACTGTCTTACACTCCTGCTTTATGTCATGATGTACTAATGCACAAACACACACACAGATGAGAGAAACTGTTCCGAACTCACAGCACAGGGCAGAATTTCTGGAAATGGATGAGATGTTGAGCTGGTGGTTTTTAGGATTAAGAGAACTAAAGGGCATTTAGAGGATTGCAACTTGGGAGGAGAGGAAAGATGCGAGTCAAGCAGAAATGCAGAATCAAACTGATGGTGCATTTTGCATGCCATGCAATCTTCCACAGAAAAAAAAGGAAGCCATAAGGGTCTGGAAAGACATGAGGGTGAGGAAATGATAGAAATGGAACTAATCCCTTAATGTCCTGTTCACACATCAGTTTAATCATAAGAAGTTTGCTGCAACTGCTGCATGTCCTGATGTTACTGGTGTTTTGAGTAATTGGCCATAGTATTTTAAAATCACTCAAAATTCAAGATGCATCAAATAACAAGGTTTCAAAAGAAGATAAACAAACAAGATGCAAAAATAAGCTTGCACTGCAGTTGTGCTTACCCATCTCAATTTTACATAACTTCCTCACACAATCTGTATGATGTGTAGCATAATTTAATAAAATAAGAGAGAAAAATCACTGTGTTTAAAAACAACGTGTTTAAAATCCGTTGTTTTGTCTTGTGGAATAAATGTAAATATACACCACCGTTCAAAATTTGGGGTCAAGAAGATTTTGTTGTTTTGAAAGAAATTAATTTGAATTAATTCTCTTTTTTGAAAGAAGTTAATTTTAATCCCTGGCTACAGAAGATTTAAATTTCGAATAAATGCTGTTCTTTTTACCTTTGTATTCATCAAAGAATCCTGAAAAATGTATCACTGTTTACACAAAAATATTAAGCAGCACAAATGTTTTAAACCTCGATAATAATAAGAAATGCTTCTTCGGCACCAAATCAGCATATTAGAATGATTTCTGAAGGACAAAGTGACACTAATGACTGGAGTATTAGCTGCTGAAAATTCAGCTTTGTCATAACAGAAATAAATTACATTTCTAAATATTTTGAAATGAAAAACAATTACAAAAAATTACTGCCATTACTAAAGTTAATAATATTTCGGAATACTACTATTTTTTACTCTATTTTTGATTAAATAAATACAACCTTGGTGCCTTGGAAATCTTACTGACCACAAACTTTTCATTGGTAGTGTATATTTTGTCAAATAGCTTTATCGGGGCTTCCATTAAAAAAATTAAATTTTTTATTATCACATTTTATTTAAATTTAGAGCATAAATATATAGTGAACATCAAGAATTTAATTCAGATTGAGCTGTTGATTGGTTTACCTGTATCTGGGTTAAGGCTGAATTTTCCTCCAGTGTTGCCGCTCTGGATACGATACGTCACACGTCCGTTCTCTCCCTGGTCTGCATCTGCAGCCATGACATAGACCACAACAAAGCCCACAGGCTGGTCCTCCATCACACTCACCACAGACGGTGAGATGAACACAGGGTCGTTATCATTCACGTCAGTGACAAATATGCGGGCTGTGACCGTCCCACGGCGCCGCTGACCGACATCGGGGGCCGAATCCATCGCCTGAACCACCAAGAGTAGTGAAGAGGTCCTCTCATGATCCAACATCATTCCCAGAGAAAGAACTCCTGTGGTTGGATCCAGGAACAGGAGATCTGGAACGTTTGGCCACTGCTGCAGGATGGAGTAGTGTACTTCACTGTTGGGTCCGCTTCCGTCTTTATCAATGGCCTGGAAGGTGTAGATAGATGATCCAGGATCGGTGTTCTCAGGGACGACTATGATAATGGGGTCTTCGGGAAACTCGGGAGCATGATCGTTGCTGTCCTGGACATCGATTACCAATGTAACAAAGTGACTTTTAGGGAGAGGCATGGAGAAGTCATCAACCTCAATCTGGAGAGTGTATCGAGGAGCTTTTTCGAAATCAAGCTCACGGGCCAGGTAAACATCACCCGTCTGGCGGTCTACCACAAAGGTGCCGTCGCAGTCGGTGCCTCCCACCACAGTATACGTGACCTGGCCTACTTCAGGAAGAGTCTGAGAATCAGGTGAACGAACAGATCCCACGATTGAGCCGGGTTTAGCTCCCTCTACTGAATTCAACGTTATTGGAATCATTACTTAAAATAAAATATTAAAAACCTATTTCAGCAACATAAGCTAAATAAGAATCATTCATATTTTCTTTTACTTTACATAATTTTGTTCGTTTATTGTATGAAAGTAAACAAAAAATATCCTATATTTTTTATTACCATAAAATACTAGTCTTACATTAGTTTTTTTATTTTATTATTTGATTTGTCTTATAATTAATTTTAAACTACATATCAGAACAGACTTGTAACCCATTTTTAAACTGCATCCTGCAAGTTGCCTGTTAATGAAATACACCAGAACAGAAACATACTGCAGCCCACATTTTCTTCTCTTTTTACAGGGAATGAAAACTTTTTTGGGGGCTTTTACAAGCTCAAACAACAAACCTGCTAGCATTAATCAGAGTTAATTTGATAGGTCTGTGACTGCCAGGAAAAATAATACTGGATTAAAGTAAACATAATCATAATAGGAAACTGTTAGAACATTCAAATGTGCAAATATTCTTAATAAAAATACAGAATCCTCATAGATGACTCAGAAACACTTCAAAGCAAAATAACCTTGCTTCCTAATATGGAAGCCTGCGGTTTCTCTTATGATAGTTATGAGAGACTGTGTATGTGTGTGCGTGCACAGAAAGAGAGACAGACACAGAGATAGAATGATGGAAACAAACATTTAGATAAAGAAAGACACATATACAAACACAGCACATGCGAGACACTAAACCTCAAAACCTATGCGTTAGAACTCAAACAAGTTTGAAAATAAAAGTATGCACTACAACACAGGTGCTCATGAAAAACCTATTATTTTTTGTACTATGATTAAATCATCATTATGCACCAGGGTGATTAGTATATTGGCAGTAACGAGATTCTTGAGGCCAAGTCTTCTAATGAAACATAATAGGACAGAGGGGTAATTAATCCCACATTAAGCGGTAAATGACATGTTCCAACAAAAGATCTAAAAGCTCTTTTATTCTAATTAGATATCAATTATGAACTTTATTATTTGTCTTGGCACATCCATAACAATATTGAATCGTTATACAGCATAAATGTGTTTTCCAGGCATTTGCACGCTGGAATTTACTACTGTCGCTGTCCGTTGTGTCTGTTTCCACTCCGTTGACTCGTTTGAGAAATATTAATTTGATCACTGGGGTATTTCACAAGGAGTTTTCTGTTCTTCAAAGGGCTACTGAACTGTATTACGAGGCTTTGACGCAGCATAGCAGAAAGCACAGCTGGCACTTGTATCGGTGCAGCTGGGAGTCGGTCACTCCTACTTTGAGTGTTTTACACCGTAATATCACGCTTAAAATGTTGCAGACAGCAACGGAAAAATCGGGAAAAAAAGTCTAGGTTAAGACATTCATCTTTGAGCACCTAAAATTAGCCAGCTGAGAGTATTTTTCCCGGCATTGCTTGGGGAAGGTTACAAGACTTGGACTAGGAGAGATGAGTTGGCTATGGAAATTTGCAATGCAAGAATGTAAGCCTTGATTAGGCCAACTAGATCATTTCATATTTCCTTTGCATGATGTTTAACCTGAAAGCAGATGTAAACGGATCCATTCCTGTAGAGGATAATTTACAAGTTCATATTTTCATATAACAGTATTAAATAAATCATTTTGCATATTATGAAAAGGTGATGAGTAGATCCATGTGGCGGAAGGAGTTATTTTTAACTGATATGACCAAAGACCTTTGTGTTAACTTCAATTTTTGAAGGTTTATAGCCACAACTAATCAAGGCACAATATACATTGTTAGGAAATTTGTCAGGAAACCTGCCAAAGAATGAGGGTCCAGAAAGGCTGAAGGCGTTTTACTGCTCAGATGTTTATTCCATCTGTCATCCAGTGGATTTAATTTGCATGATTTAGAATGGTTAACAGACTCTAGGTGTATCTCAACCTAGTCACTGTTTCATCTGACCTCAATTTTCAATGTTATGGTGGAGCTCTGAGGAGGTGAACCTCGGTCCGAAGCCAGAACGATGAAATTATACTCAGGACGCTCTGAATGGCTCAAAGGGGAAGAGGAGCGCAGCTCTCCGGTGTTTGGGTTCAGTGTGAAACGTTCGGCTCTGGGACCTACAGCAAAGACAGGATGGAACGGGTCAGGTTTGTGTGCATCAGCGTGATAAAGAATGATTGGATTGACCATTTTTCTACTGTAGAAAGTGTGCATGACTTCAGTGTTGATCCCATCTGGATTTGATTTACAGATAAATTACAGAATGAAATAGTTATGTGTCAAATTCAGTAAATGTGTTACAAAACATATTTAATGATCTCACACGTCAACACATTACCTTCTACACTTCACGTCATGCTGTCTGAGCTATGATGAATAGCAGAATATTATGGCATGGGTCAGGTATGATATATTTTTGGTACCAGTATACGGTTTTAGTATCAATATCAGTGCAAGCCTAACAACAAACTAAATCTTATATTTTTTAATTAAATCAGAAGTTTCCTGTTCATTGTTGACAGACAATATGCTTTGCATCTGGTTTCGACACACTGTAAGACATCAAAACAACAGGTTTTGATTCAATGCATCTTTCTTACCAGACATGGAGTAGAAAATAGTTCCATTTTCTCCTTCATCAGGGTCTTTTGCATGAATGGTTCCCAGAAGAAATCCAGATGGCTGACCTTCTAACGCCTGTACAGAGATTTCAGTTAACACTTTTATCAGTACAGCTCACTTCTGTATATTAAATCGGTATCATTTTTCCTCTGTAAAATCTTTGTAGAATTTTTAGAATATACAATATTTCATTCAAGAGTTTTGTAAACATTTTAATGGTTTTGGATGCTTCTTATTTTCTTATGGATGCTTCTTAGTTTCTTATGCTCACCCAGGCTGCATTTTTTTGATCAAAAATACATTAAAACAGTAATATTGTGAAATATTATTACAATTTAACTGTTTTCTGTTTGAAAATACTTAATCCTGTGATGTCAAAGCTGAAATTTCATCAGCCATAACTCCAATCTTCAGTGTCACATGAGCCTCCAGAAATCAGTCTAATATTCTTAATGACCCCAAAATCAGAGTTTTATTGCTTTTAGTCCATGTTTATTATCCATGACGTGTGAACACTTTGACGAAGCTAACCTGTAGCACATATACTGTGCGCATTTAAAATGTACAGTCTTTCTCCTCTGGAAGACATAGCTTTGAGATTTATGAAGCTAATATTATATCTCATACCTGCAGCAAGAGCTCTCTTCCTGCATGGCTGAAGGAGGGCGCATTATCATTCTCATCCAGAACCGCGATGAAAGCAGTGCCTGTAGCACTGCGGGGAGGGTTCCCTCCATCCTGAGCCACCACCATGAGCTGGTAGCTGGACTGAAGTTCACGGTCGAGGGAAAGTTTTGTGCTTATCTCACCTTTAAAAGAACAGAACAGATGGAAAAACAGAGAGAGAGAGAGTAAGACAAACTATTTTATTGCACTATTTCATCTGTGGCAGAAGGCACAGATGGTACATCCTGACTTCCCCAAGAAGAACCCCCACAGTTAGCAATAGCATGGTGCCAGAAGTCTGGAGCTGTGTGTGATGGCTAGTATGTTCAACAGCTCCACATTAGGGATGGGTCAGAACAGTCAAATAGTCATTCGATAACGGACTATGGGTTCACTGAGGTTGGCTAGTTTGCATATTTAGATTTCTACAGTTTTTAAAAATTGCAGATTTTCATGTTTTCCTGTCAAAATGTCTAAGAGAGAATGCTAACAAGAAGTCAGAATAACATTGTTTTTGTGAGGACTGTGATAGCTTTCTGAAATTAAAGGTTATAGTAATTATTTTACCCATTTGTTGAATATCTGTCAGTTTGTATGCTAACAATCAGTAACTGTCAGACTATCAGCATGACAAATCTCTCTTTGGAAAGATGTTACTCTACATTCAAACTAAAAAATTTACCACCTTCAAAATCAGACTTCAAATTCCTTTATTTGAGTAATATTCTCTATTTTTAGTGAGGACTGAAAGCTTGGTTATAGTTGGAGTATTTTGCATTTTGAATATCTGTCAGTTAGCATGCTAACAATCAGTAAATGTCAGACTATCAACACACTAAAACTGAAACTAAAGCTGCTACACAAAATTCACAAGTTCACCACCTACAAAATTACAATTGCAGTTGAAATCACTTGGTTTGAGCAATGTTCCACATTTTTGTGAGGAGTGTGAAAGCTTGGTTATAGTTATTTAGCCTATTTATTTGTTGACAATCTGTCAGTTAGCATGCTAGCAATAAGTAAATTTAAAAATATGAGCACACTAAAAATCTATTTGGAATTTCTACTCTAAATTTAAATTCTAAAATTAATATCCATCAAAATTAATACAATTACCCTCAAACTTCTAATTACTTGCCTTTTTTGTAAGAACTATAAAAGCTTGGTGTTACTTAGCCTATTTATGTGCTAAATATCTTAGCAATAAGACATATAATGAACATGACATGAAACCAGTCAACCAGAAACCAGTCAACAACTCCGTGCCCACCTCCGTCTGTCAGTGGATCAACAGCTTCCTGACAGACAGGCAGCAGCTAGTGAGGCTGGGAAAATACACATCCAGCACTTCTGATTCTGATTCTGATTCTTATATAGTGCTTCCTTAAGACCAACTAGACTGACTAATTCATAAACAACTCACCAACTAGTCAATTTTCAAAATACATAGTTTTGCACATCCCTACTCTATACACACAAAGATAATACCACTAGACTTGTCTAGGTGCCAAGCTGATCTTGTCATTCCGAGTCATTTTGGTCTGTTAGACTGCAGCCATATTTGAAGCTCACCTGTGTGGGAGTTGATTTGGAAGTGGCGATTCAGATGGAGCAGGCGGTAGCTCAGCCGACCGTTGAGACCAGCATCCCGATCGCTGGCAGACACCCGGCCGAAGCCAGTGCCTGCCGGCAAGTTCTCGCGCACTGCCAGGAACGCTCTCTCTTGGATAAACCGAGGGGTGTTGTCATTTTCATCCATCACTGACACGCGCACTGTAGCGCTACCCGTCTTCTTCAGCTGTCCGTTGCCTGATGTGGCCAGTACAGTGAGCAGGTACATCTCCTTGGCTTCTCTGTCCAGGGCACTTTTCACGAACAGCCAGCCGCTGTCAGACACAATGCCAAACCCTGCAGCGTCACCGTCTGGGTGCAGGTGGTAGGCTAGTGGGGCGGAAGACGTAGAAGACGGCCCAGGGGTGATGCCACCATCTCGGTTTACAGCTCGTACCTGCAGGAAGCGAGTGTTGAGAGGTGTGCTTTCCTTCAGTTCTACTCGGTACGTGAGACTATCGAACACAGGGCCTTGGCCATTCTCTGCTTGCACGTGGATGACCAGGGTGAAGGTAGAACTTAGCTGAGGTGCTCCGCTATCTTTAGCAATCACCTGCAGGTCATAGCGAGGCATGGTCTCGTACGACAAACTGCCAATCAGGCGGATTTGTCCACTGTTGCGATCAATGCTGAAGGTTCTCTGGGCACCGCCGGTGAACAGGTCAAAACTCAGAAGACCATTGGGTCCAGAATCATGATCTTCTGCTTGGACCTTATACACCACTGTACCCATCCGGGTGTCTTCAGGTAGAATCAGTGACTCGGAAGATGAGGGCAAGAAGACGGGCGCATTGTCGTTGACGTCAGACACTGTAATTCGTACCCTAGTCTGGCCAAAGGCCGGGGGGTTACCGCAGTGCGCCTGGACTTCCAGATTCAAGCTGGGTTGGGCCTCGTGATCCAGAGGCAAGCTCGTTCTCAAAGCCCCAGTCTCCGAATCAATAGTGAAGTAGCCCGTGGGGTCACCAGAACTAATAGTGTAGGAGATATCCTTCGAGACACCTGAGTAGAAAGAGGCAAATGGCCAGAGACCCATTACTTCACAGTGTAGGACGAAAACAAAGACAAAGAGTTATTTTTCAACACATGAGACCAGAATTTAGTGCTTCATATATCCAAAGCAAATTGTTAAAAAACTAAGCGGTTAAAAACAGAATCAATGATTAATGTCGATTGTAAATGAGGTGTGTACAGTGGTTCCATGCATATTTGTACAAGTGGTGCACCATGGAGAATAAAAGCCAGAAGACGTCTTTCAGCACACTTGAACGCAGTCCAATGTGACTGATAAATGTGGGTACACACTGAAGTCTGGTTTATGTGTTGAATAGGGATTTGTGTCCAAAGGGGGGAATAAAAAACCTCTGAGATTAGCTCACCCACCGTTCTTAGTGCTGGCCCGCACAACGCCAACTTGTGTTCCACGCAGGGCATCCTCAGAGACCACGAAGAAGTACTGAGCTTGCTCAAACACAGGGGGGGCGACCAGTCCTGCCACTATGCTGATGTTGACCCTGGCATTGACTGGAGCAGTAAGGCCCCCACCATCTTGGGCTGAGACCACCATCGTAATGACTGAGTTTGCCTTTCCATGTAGAGCGCGTGACAGTGAAATCACTCCTGAGAAAATGCACACCCAGAAGAAATATTTTCATTAGGTTTAGAGGTATCAGAATACATCAAGACACAAAGCACAATATCTCTTCATCCTATACACACACCCACACGCTACCATTCAAGTTTGGGATCAGTACAATTAAAAAAAGTAAAGAAAATAATACTTTTATTATTTTCTGGCGTAATAGTTGCTGAAAATTCAGCTTTGCCATCATTTGCCATTAAAATATAAAACAGTTATTTTAAATTGTAATAATACTGCTGTTATTACTGTGTTTTTGATCTAGTAAATGCAGCCTTGTTAAGTACAAGACTTATTTTAAAACATTTTAAAATACCAACCTTTAAAATTTTGAATGGTAGTGTGTATTCACACATACACACCAACTAAAAATACATCCAAGCTATTAATAACTAAAATGAATGTGTACTTAATAGTCTCACCAGTATCTTTGTTGAGGGTGAAGAAAGGTGAGCTCCCTCCAGGTACAGTACGATATGTCACTTTGCCGTTATCTCCTGTATCTGGATCGTGAGCAGTCACCTTCAGGACGGAGGTTCCTGGGGTGCTCTGCGTACTCAGGCTCACTGCATAGTTCAGAGGGTAGAACGCTGGTCGATTGTCATTTATGTCTATCAGGTCCACACGCACATAGGCCACTGAACTCAGTCCACCCTAGAAAAACACAGCCAAGATTAAATGTTCTTTAATGGTCATTAAAGATTGAACCGATATGAACATACAACAAAATCTAACTAGATAATAATACAACCAACTGATGAAGGCTCCATAGCCTTAAAAGACACAGGAAACATTCACAATTGACTAGAGTAACTATAGACAAAATATTTGGATTAAAATTTGCAAGAAACACTGAAACATTTCAAAGGCTACATCTAGGGAGGAAATAGATTGGTTATATTCCCTGTAGAGAACTGCAATCTGTCAAGGGCACAGTGTACATGTGGGATACGGTTCTTGCTGCTAAACATCTTGCCCGCCTGGCATCCCATATGGAGCAAATGGCATGTCAGGAAAAGCCTCAACTTATTAAATATTACAAGCTGATGCTCTTTAGGGCCCAGCTGCCCTTGATTGCTTTAATGTGTCTCCTGAAATTTCCTTTCTTTGACGCCTGGCGCTTCAAAGTATTACTTAGGCACAGGATGCTAAACCGCTACTGAAGAATTACTATGCAGGCAATTTTTTCCTCACTGGCTTCCTAAACAGACAATATTTGATGCACTTCTGAAAATAATCCAGTCACAGTTGATGTTACAATTGAATTGGTGAGGGATGTGGTTGCTGGGAATCACTGGACACTCACCCCATCCACAGCTGTGACGGTGAAGTCGTAGTTGGTTGGTCCCTGGTCACGATCCAAGCTGGTGGTAGTACAGATCTGTCCATTGTGCTTGCCAACGGTGAACTGAGACGGGGTCACACTGCCTGGACCAGAGCCCAGAGAGTAGGAGATGGAGCCAAAAGAGCCACCATCCGCATCAGTAGCTGTAACCTGGAAGAGAAGAGAACACATTAGATTAATGTTTAGCCAAATGTCCCGAAAAGCTTAAGGAGAGAAGCCAGGCACTTTCAGTGTTTGGGACCAAGTTTCAATGGTATTTAATCAAAGGTCCTGAAATTTATTTATGTTAAACAGTGATTGTCTTTATACTGAACAGGAATAATTATGTATGAATTGATATCCAACCAGCAGTAGATTACTTTTTGTGGGTAGGCTGAGTGAAAAAAACAAAACAAAGAAATCTCAATATTTTCATCCTTTTTTTATCACATCCGATATCAATATTTATATGCAATATGCGTTTGCCCTGAAATCATTCAGAATCATGATAATTTTTCAATGGTTTCATATAAACAATCATTTTTAAACAAACTGTTGCCAAATAATATCAAGGCATGTTTACAATGTTGTTTTTTTTGTCAATATATATATTAATAATAATAAATTATATTTATATATTTAAATATACCAATACGATAATACTTTGAAAATAAATCAATACAGTATTTACCAACATATATTTTCATGTAAAACATTTAGGTACAAATGTAAACAAATTATTGAATCTAAGGTTCATTTAAAACCAGTTAATTAAAACAGCTTGAACTGATTAGAAGAAATGAAACTTAATGGTTGAAACTGAAATGAGACTATATATTAAATATTTAAGTTACGTATATAAATGAGACTAGATATTAAAACATCGGTCAAAATTCATTACTTTCACAAGGAAAGGAGAGATTGTGAAACATAAAGTTATTTGATCTTCAGGAAACGTGTCTAAATAATATGTGCATTGTAATACAATGTTGAATAAAAAAATAAATAAAAGTATATATTAAAAAATGTAAAAATAGTAAAAGTATATTGTGAATATTCAACATACCCTCCAGCTCTAGCTTGAATTTACATTTTTATATTCTTCATTTTATATTTCAACAACACTCAGCACTTTCCTGTCACAAATAAACCTGCGACTCCACTGAGCAATACCACTGAACACATTTATATAACTTGGTTCACAGCCTTTGGCAATCAAACGTTGCTCTGGTGCTCTGCGGCATGTACATATACTGCGGTAAACTAAGAGAGCACATGGAGAGCTCCTCTGCTACACTTGGGTTTGATCAATCAAGCCAAAAGGAGGGAAGCTACTGGCAGCTAGCAGACATAAAGACTTTCACAGCCACAGCGCACAGCTCAAGAGAGAACATCAGACAGATAAACAAATGGAACGAGAGAGAAAGAAAGAAAGACAGAAAGAGACTTGAATAGAGGTGATGACTTTCTTGGAGAAAATGAAATGCCATTCCACGCAAATACGGAAAGTGAAATTACTTTCTATTCAGCTTCTTATTCATCAAATAAAAGGAAAAATCCAGCTTCGGCTGACATTTACCAACTCTCAAACAACATTACACTTCGGCCATGGGCCGTCTGGAGTGGATGATGGCTGAAACTGTGCAAACAGATCCTGAATGACATTGAGATGAGGGTATCCGAGTCTGAGATCGGGTTCTGCCAGAGGCCGTGGAGCAAGTGTTGGAAAAATAATCATCATGAAGACGAGAAGTCTCAGCCCACAGCGGAGAGATGTTCCACATTTTAACCATCCAAGCCCCTGAAGCAAACCCTGATATTTTACAACCGAGCAGGGGGGGCACAATATTCATAAACACCACACTACCTATCTTTATTCCCCTCATGCTAGCTTGACAGAAGTTGGACGCCTGAGGCCTGAACAGCGAGAGCTTGAGGTAACAAACCGTGGAAGGGGCGCTTTGACCAAGGATCTGCTTCATGGACAAAGCCATTTTCCATAAAAGCCTGGCTTGGGCAGAGAAAGCTGGGAAATGTCTGGGGGACTTGTGGGTCTCAATGTAGTCCAACTAAAGAGCTCCAAAGCAGCACTGTAAGATAAAAATTTCCTCTTGGTCACAGAGCTGCTCGAACAGAAAAGGAAGCATGTTGGTCACAATAAGAAATCATGTATTTATTACTGTACTCAACAAGCCATCTTTAAAACATCGGTCAGGTTGACTATATGTATGGTACATGAAATAAGTCGATGGGAAACAATCGGTATTAAGCGCATAAAAGCTTCAAAGGTAGAAGACTGAAACCAGAAGTGGGATTGAGTTTCTTTTCCCATCTCGCCAACAAAAAGGATTTAAATAAAGTGGCTTCTCAAAAATGGGGAGAAACCCAAGCTCATAATTTTTAGAGTGTGTTTGAATATGTGGTGAGATGCCAGTAATCATGATGACTGATTGAATGATTGTCTTTTTGGGTCCTGAGGGGGCACCTAAAATGCATGCAAACACAAAAATACGCATATACGTGTTCACACACACACACACAGGAGCCGAGGGATTTGGGGATGTACTGTTCAAGAACTGGGTTGCCTTTGCCAGTACAATAACAGTTCATAAGAAGTTTAGTGGAATCTCAATCTTGACTGAATCATAAGTGGGTCAAAGTGTGCTTGCACTGTTTTCTCGAAATCTCTGCTAAATCCTCTGTGCTTTTCCTCACCTTAACTCATGAAGACACGTAGACTCAGACACACCAACAGCACACAAGAGCTAGACGACCTCAAAAACTGAATTTCACCCCAATAAATTTCTTAACTCATCTCAAAAGTTATAAACACTACATCACAGTTGTTTAAAAAAGCTAAAATGTGTCATTTCTGCACCACTGACGTGAATTCCAAACATTTGAACACATTCTCTCCGTCTTACATTGGTTGGACAAACCGATAGTCCCGCCCCCAAACTCAAACCATTGGTTGAGCCAATGTTTCTGCCTTGGGATACTCAAACAAACAGAGGTTTGTTTGTGTCACAAGGTGTGAAAGTGAGGCAAGAGTGAGTGAGGACACTGGACACATTTTGGAGCTCTAACGGTTCCCTCATCTCTCTCTCCTTGTGCGAGCGAAAGATGCGAACCACCCTGAGCGAGCCAAGTGAGACTTTGGCTGGTCGAACTGTTACTGAGAAACAAGCCAAAGGAATCCAATGCTAACTTGTAGAGTTTTGTGGTTCACCCACCATTCCTCTTGACTCCTTTTTTTGGGGAGAAAAAGAAACATTCAAGTAAGCGAATATAAGATTAATAGGGAGAAAGAATAAGGTTGTCCAGTTCTTGTTAGTTTTTGCTAATGCAATGATCTGGTTTCACTGCATTGGGTTTTCTCAAGGCTACACAGCTCATTTAGTGACTAATGTATAACTGAGAGACCTGACTGATGCTTTCCCAAGAAGAACTGCTGTATATGACAACGAAGGTTTTTGATTTGCTAATTGACCACCTTGGAATGAAAATGCACGACTTTTACTTAGATGTCTGTAAAATGTCTTTCGACAAACCAGACTCAAGGTCACCTGTAAGTTGGTCATTTGATCACAATATTGCTTGGTTTTGTGATTGATAGAGGACTGTGAAACTGTTCTGTGGGACAATTTCCATGCAAATGAAATTCAAGATCTATCATCCAACAATGGTACAAGATAAGTAGATTTGCTACATATAGCTCATTTAGCATGCAGAACTGCTTCATTTAATTCTGTGGCACGTTCCCATTCAAACAAACTATCTTACAGCATTCAAGAACAAACCATCTGATCAGGAAGCTTTCACAGCCAAACCAAACACTGTAGTTGACAGAATAGTTTGTGACCTTGCTAACAAGCCAATCAGAGTGTGTCAGACAAATACGCTTTTGCAAAGCCCGTTCTGTACTACTGATCTTCTCAGTGAAGACATCAATAAACATAAAACCAAAGATTACATCAGCCAAACACAGACAAAACCCCCAAATAACAGCGGTACAAGACAGCGAGTTGGTGTAACTTGGCACTGGGGTCATCTGGAGCGACGTTTCTTATACAAACATGACATGGGGAGAGTACAGTGGTGACTTTGCTTAAATAACAAGCAACCCACAGAGTGATCTCACGTAAAAGAGCTCAGTTTCAAACATCTTGCCTTCTTTGCAGCTAATGTCAAGAGCTCTGACCGAAAGAAATAGTTGTTTTTATTTAAATGTTGCACAAACTTGCAGCAAGTTCCACATATGGGAAATGTGGTTAAGTTGGGAACCTATAAAAGGCTAAAACACAATACAGGAACTAACAAATAAAAGTTAAAGAAATAGTTCACTCAAAAATAAAAATAGCTCAATTTCAAAGAAAAGCAGTTAACAACTATAATGTGTCCAATGCAGAGTTTGATGAAAACAGAAAAAGTAACAATGCTAACAGACAAAAGTCCTGACAATATAAGTGATTAAACTTGGCTAAACTTTTAAACAAATAAAATCCTCGCCTATGTAGTAGATTAACAAATTGACAAAAAGTAAGCACCTCACACAACTTTATACATTAACCAAATACATAACCAAACGTTCATTTTTAAAATATCGTCTCTCATTTATTCATTGGGAAGTCTGATTCATTTTAGCTAATTAGATTGTTTGGATGAATCTTTTCAATGAATTAAAGAAAATGATTCACCAGTAAATTTGAGTCACTGGCTAATATTCATGCACAGCATTTTACAATCTTTACTGTGATCAAATAAATGCGTAGTTAAACACTGTACTACACATACAGTACACTATACTGCACTTCAAATCTATCAATGACAAACACGAAACATTAAAGGGGTCATATGATGCTATTTTAAAGATCATTATTTTGTGTATTTGGTGTAACAGAATATGTTGACATGCTTTAATGTTCCAAAAACACTTTATAGAAAATTCTCTAAATATAATATATAGATTGAAATTATTAAATGATGACAAGATTTAAATTTGGGGGTAAACTGACCAACCAAGGCCTCTAGTTTAAAAGTGGTGTTTAAATACAGGTTACTGTCTGAAATCTAGAGTTAATATCAAAAGTCTCTCAGTTTAAGCCACAATATGGCTTTCATATTTTCAATCTGGTGCTATATCTCATTTCATTCCATAGCGGGGAAGATAA